GATAGATAGATAGATAGATAGATAGATAGATAGATAGATAGATAGATAGATAGATAGATAGATAGATAGATAGATAGATAGATAGATAGATATAATCTAGATGGAAACATTTTCATTACTATTATGTATTGTTTCTTTAAAATCACTCTTTATCTAGCATATTATATTATCATTTTATATTAGGAGTAAACTGACATGCGTCCTCACATGTATTTTTTCTCTTCCTCAGAAAGAGATACAACAATCTTTAAACCTAAGGCTTCGCTTAACAAACACAAAAGCATCTGTTAAGAAAGACAAACTAATAAAAAAAAAAATCCCCACAAATATTACAATTAAATGTTTTTAGGGAAACCAGATGTCCTTTTTTGTAAATTTAATATTCGGTAAAAGTTGCAGTATAATAATCACAGGATGTAGTCATGTGCCTGCGGGAATGACTTTCAAATATTTACACTATATCTGATAATGCAACATAAATATTATAACAGGGTTATGGTTATATCAATAACGCCTGATGTCATGCTTTGACCTGATTCCGGTGATAAATAGGTTTCTGTGATCATTACGTCTGTCGTCTGTGTTGTGTCTGTTTTTCACATCGTTTTCTAAGCAACACGACCGGGTTCGTGACGTCAGCAGGGTCGAACGTTTCACTGAGGAGCTCGTTGACAAACAGATCTTCCTAATATTGTCAAGCTGTTTCACCAGACGTCCTGAAGTACATCCTGACGCAGATAGAGCTGGAGTAGGCAGGTTATTTCTGTCGTTATTGATCATCATTTCCATAATACCCTTTCAGCAGAATGGAAATGAAGTGACCCGGACAGAGAGAGAGAGAGAGAGAGAGAGAGAGAGAGAGAGAGAGGCGTACACTGCTGCACCATCGTTAGACTCTGTTGACAGCCTTGAAGAAATGTGCACTGTGATGGAAGGCTGTGACCAATCAAAGAGTAGTTTGGAAAACAAGACAAGAGGATGTCTCTAATTGGTTGATCCACTGGCAGACACTTTTATACAGAGCTCTAGCACTGAGAAGCAACTGGATTAAGATACGAGACGCACGGCTTTGAGCTGTCCAAAATGGATTGAGCTAGTAGCTTTTAGCCTGCTAACACTACCATTTGTTGTTTTTAGCATAGTACCCACTCTAAATACCTCAAATTCTGTACATTTTAATAATGTTATTTTATAGTATACAGGAAAGAACACAGTTGCCAAAAAAAAAAAAAAATTACATTAGTTGTTTATGTTCATATGACTCAAGATCAGGAAAGGTGTTTCAGTTCGGCGGACACTAAGACCCAGTAAATACGACTGGCACTTTCCTGCTGCCCTATTTACTAAGTTTATGTGGCTCAGGCAAATCTGAACAAAGGACTTCAAAGAGCAAAGTCACAAAAAAAAAAAAAAAAAACCCAGAGATGAAGGGAGTAGTGAATTACCAACACAGTGTGAGCTGAATTTTAATCAAATTTTCTCAGCAGACTTTAGTGCAAGGAAAGACCCGTTCAAAAGGTGATACAACCTCCATTTCCTCACAAAAAAAAAAGAAAAAGCAATTATCACTGAAATGATCGACGTAGATTTCTCATAATTTTCTCCCTGGAATATTTGAAGTGTTGATTGAGTTTTGTGCTAATGTGATCTCTTCTGCTCATTAAAAGACAACACATTGGTGTTGAATTCAGTCTGTTCAGATGTACAGCTTTTCAATTTCTTGACACTATCTAATGGTCAGAATTGTGATTAAAAAAAAAAGTGTTTTTGAGCTTTGCCCTCTAGCCTGTGTGCTCTTAGTTATTAGTTCTTGCAAAAAATAAAATAAATAAATAAAATCACACTGCAGGTTATAAAATTTGACCAGGGGCCGGGTGAGGAGCAGAAAGATGGAGTGTTTGTGTGAACTAAGATAAATGGCATGTATTTTGTGTGAACTAAGATAAATGACATGTATTAAGACATGCATAAAGGCTGAAATGCTTTTAGTCTTTTTTTTTACGCCATCTATTGGGGAAATATGGGCCTTGCAGAGAAAGGGCAGAATAAATCTATTGGGGAAATATGGGCATTGCAGAGAAAGGGCAGAATAATAGAGTATAAAGATAATATAACATAACATGTAACATGCACCACCTTCTTACTCTCTGATCTACTATGACTATAACTGTACTTTTCCTATTTATTATTTATTACAATTTATTATTATGTATGTATTTTTGTATTTTGTATGTTTACTGTAGCTTGATTGTTGATCGACTGACTCACACTGTAACTCGCTTTGGATAAAAGCGTCTGCTAAATGTATTGTAATATAAATTAATAATATCATTAGGACAAGGTTGAACGGACCGCATCCGGCCCCCGGGCCTTATTTTGCCCGTGTCTGGTTAAGTGCAGGGGCACACAGCTATTCACAAAATCTTTTTATCACGTCATCCATTCCAGTGTCCATACAGCAGGACCAGGGATTGGAACCAATTAACTGATGATATTTTTGGTGTAAGGCGAGAGCTGTAACCACTCCTCCACCACGTGGTAACAACTTTAGATTTTTGTCCATTGACCTCATTGGTTACATTTTGTGCCCGGCCGTGTGCTGCAGTCATCAAATATTTCAACAGCACAGTCTGTTCTTTTCTGGAAGATCTGTGACTTTTCTGTCAGTTTATCCCCTAAAGAAATCGAGAAAAACTTTTAAAGGGCTCCGCCACCCACAGCACATTTTGTTTGTAAGCTGAGAAAGTGTGTGTTGAGTATCAGCGGTCAGTGGCTGCTGTGTCAAATGCGTGGAAAAAAAAATCGGTTTCACTTGTTAAACTTTCCTTCGTCCGGTGAACACACATTCCCTCCTGGGTGCTTATGGCCAGTGATCTTTCACATCTCACCGTCAGCCTCACCTTCACTCTGCTCTGTTACAGCTTTGTTCAGTGCTGCTGTGTTTTAGTTTGACTCACTCTTTTTTTTTTCTTTTTCTTTTTGCTTGTCTCCAGCTTTTAAACAGTCGTTTTAAGATGTCAGACCCTGAGATATTCTCCTCCTATGATAGCCCGCCACCTGTTTACACAATAGACGTGAATCAGACTGACATGCAGTACATGTACCAATGAGCTGAAAATGTGTTGGTACTATAGGAACTTTAGAATCCTCTACAGTGCCATGTCTAAGAACAACAATGCGCATTTAGCCATTTTTCTTTCTCAGCAAACGCAGCTTTGCAACAGTCACTCGTACCACTGTCGTCGGCATAGAGTCGTACTTTCAAAGTGACACCCTGATAAAGCTTTCGGATGGTGACAACTGCAGTTTCGTACAGTAGGCGTGACAGGGACCAGTAGGGTGTTTGTTGCTGCTGGTGACACCAGATGCCAAAGTTAGTTATTAAAGAGCCTTAGCTGTGGCTGCGGTATGTTCGGCAAACACAGAAATGACAGAGCAACGCTGAGCGCTTTTGAGGAATTTTAGAAAACAACAAGCGCGTCTGCGTCTAACACAGATGTCCCGCAAGATTAACAACCAGTGTCTGTCATCGGAGGGCGCTGGTTGAAGTGAAGTACACCAACTGAGGGTGAGCGTGTAAACGAACATGTTCAGAGTTTGTAGTTAAATGGCTAAATAAAACACCCGCTGACATATTCTGTCATGATCAACCGCTCATTAGCACGGCAACAACAGGAAGACGTTGCGGTAGACGTTGCGATACATGGATTTTTTTGTCTTTCATCCTCTGCCACGACAGCATTTATATATCCATTTATATGCATTTAGCGTGAGTGCTAATGTGATATGCATTTTCTTTGCTACCTTTACAAATGGAGTCAGTGAAGGCATCAGCCTCATTAGTGCCTTCTACATCCTCCGCCTGCTCCGCCGTGATCAACATGTTCAGCTCTGTCTTCATTTACCTAACCATGACGTTGTCTTAGCCAATTTACGATGATTAAACTGTTGCTCAGATTAGTTTTGTTTTCTTTGGATTTTTCGTGTTGACTCATGATTTTCCAACAGTTTCAACGCAGATTCACACACAACACAGCAGTGGAGACAAAACATAGCACCTTTAAGTACTATGCAGCCACACCTGTGTACTACGCAGTATTGTTACAGTGCATGCACGGTGACACCTTGAGTCTTGACAGACACTGCCGGTTAGAATTGTGCGATCTGCAGCTCGTCACAGGAACCTGTCATCGAGAACATGACAGGCTAATCTTTTCTGTATAACATATGAGGCTCAACCATCTCGTGCTAGATACCGTATGTGTGCAGAGAAGCCTTCAGTCAAGACGGCCATGTTTCATTCATCTTGCTGTCCTACAAATATATTAGTGGTGGGACCTGTTTACAAAAGACTAGGCATGTCGACAAAAGGTTGCATTTCTGTATGTATATTTGGTGTCCCCACCAGGACAGTGTGTACTTGAGGAAAAGAGGAGTCCCCACCTGGCATGGAAACGTGTATGTGTGTGTGTGTGTGTCTGAAAGAGAGCGAAAGAGAGCATATATGATGGTATTACTTCATGATATCGCAGACGTACCTTTTGGAGTTGAAGGCTGTATTGCAGCCTGGAACTGGATTTGGACATGAGACCAGAGGCGCTGACACTGCAGTCCCTCAGGCCGCGACTATCAGAGAAATGAGCCTGGAGTTTCTCCCTGTGTCTCCTGTGGGGTAAATCAGACACACAGAGAAAGAGTGAAACATATATATTTTGCAATAATATGATAAAAAAAAACCAAAAAAACAGAGTTGAACCACTGATGCTTTCTTGAACAAAGCGGCATTTTTCATGACCAAGTGGTGATGGCAGTGATGGGGAGATGGCCTGCCCTTTCTCAATGATTATAAACTCTGTAACCGCGTTACGGTTCCTTTGTCTTCCTCAGTGTTTTATAGCAGTTGGCATCTGTACCGTTGAATTACGCTCTCTCTTTTTTTTTTTCTATCCATTTCTCTCGCACACCTTATCTTTTCGACCAAAGTCACTGTCCATAAAAAGGATGAGGCCTAACCAGTGAGCCCTGCGGTCAGGCCGCGTTACGCTTTGGAATCCACCACAGTCCTTAACTTTTGATTTGATCTGATTTAAAGCCTTTTTTTTTTGGTTTAAATTCTGCAACAAACTACAATTTACAAAACAAAATTATAAAAACATTTTTTTTGTACCTTAGAGCAGTGGTTCTTAAACAGTGGTATGTGAAGCGCTCTCTAGTGGTATGCAGGCAAAATTCATATTTTCACCTTTAGATTTTCAATAAAAATAAATCTGAAACATACACGCACATGCACAATGAATACAACATTTAAACATAAACATCTTTCTAAACATCTCTCCTGTGGTGGAAGCTAACAGTGAAGGCCTGTGCTGTTATATTCTAATGTTGGTCATCATGGTGGGACTCAATGTTTTCGCAGGTGGTACAGAGTAGAAAAAGTTGGAGAAACACTAACTTAGGGCCAGCACTCATTATCATCATCTGATGTGACATTTAATGAATTATTATATTTAGATTCCTTCCAAAATAATGAAACAATTATTGACACTTAACAAAGATACTAATTGATATAGGAAAAAATATGTTGGGTTATTCGCGATTAAAAAAAAAAAAAAAAGCTTTTGGCACAGAAACACATTTATCATCATCATGGATGTTATTCAGACCACACCATCTGATAAAGGATCCATGAAATTGTGTAAACCGAAGCATTTATTTTTTTGCATGGATAATAGCGTAATTTGAAAAAATAAAGAAAATCCATTAATAATAATAAAAAATAAGACAGAGTGTACATGCAACACAAAGGAGCATTTTATTTGATTTTCACGGTAGACTTAAAGTAAATTATGTTATGTAAAATTGTGCTAAAGGGAAAATATATATTTGTATACTATGATGTATAATTATTCTTTATTTTTCTGTACTAAACAATTTGTGTGTCTGACAGAGTAAAGGCAAAGAAAAACCTTAATCCAGGGGGTAATTTGTAAATAACACATTTTCTAGCCTCTGGGTTGTATCTGATGAAAGAAAAAAAAAAAACTAAAAAAGAATTTCAAGAAATATATCTATATTTATGTGTAAAATATTGAAGGCTGATTTATGGTTCCGCGGTGGTTTCCTGACTGAAAATTAATTGAGCAACAGACCTCTTTAATTTTTTATCCCGTCATGTCTGTGAAATAATGGAAGAATCTGATATAGTAGTTATGATTTCATTTAAAATCAAAAAGATCCTCTCATTGGGTTATAACATTGTTTTGATTAAAAATTCATTGACGCTTAACTTTTGGATTAAATGTTAATGCGCCAATGAATATTCTTATCCTTTTTTTAGGGGAAAAAAAACCCAAGAGGTTACTAAAAGTGTCCTACATGGAGGAAATGATTGCTGTTCAAGAATGAATAGGACACTACGTGATTTCTCAAGGTGTCAGTGCAGCAGGGAACTCTTCTAATGTTCCTAAAGTATAGAGGGCAGCAAGGAAAAAAAGAACAGGTACTTAACTAAATAAAAATAAAACAAAAGTAAAAGAATAGAAATGCAGTTTTTCGTGCTCTGATTTGAATTTACTGCATGACTATGTGGGAGATACATTTCAAATAAAAATCTGTATATGCAGCCCATGGCGCCTCCTGTGGCAGACTGTGTTAGTTAGTAGACAAATAACTGACTTTCATAGGTATATCCAAATCTTTTTTTGGTTCCTCCTGTGGCAGACTGTGTTAGTTAGTGGACAAATAACTGACTCAGTAATTTACGTCATATATTTCAAATCTTAGTTTCATAGGTATATCCAAATCTTTCTTTGATGATGCCAATTCCAGTGTGAGCACTAAGTGGATCCAAAGCTCACTTCATACTAGCTGACCCAAATTTCACAATTTAGGTTTGAACATTGTCAGAAAGAAGACGAAAGCAAAGCGGGTGAGTCCGTGAGAAAGAAAGAGATAAAAAGCACAAAGATCTGGTAATTATCCAGTACCAGGAATAACTGCAAAGAAACCACACAAGAGAACAAATGGTAAAAAAGAAAAAAAGAAAAAAAGAGGTCTTAAAGTGAGTTACATCTTACTGTAAGTGCTGCTAAATGCAAATCAATATTGGCAGAGAGTTACAGAGACATAGAGAAACGGAGCGCAGGCTTCTGTAAAATACTGAAACATGAGCTTCTGAAAGAGCCTTGATGTCAAAACATTCAAAAAAATGGAGACTTTCCAACATCTGAAAACATTCAAATGGTTGGAAAACATAAAAGACATAAATGGACAGCCTATTGTGTAAGTACAGTATGTACATGGAAAAAGAACTAAAAAAAATGTAATTAAGTAAAAGTATCTTTACTTTAGTTGAATTCTACTCAAATAAAAGTACCCAAATACCTGTCTAAAAATCTACTCAAGTAAAAGTAAAAAAACAACTCAAAATTAACTTTGAGTAAAAGTTACTGAGTTACTTTAAATTACCTCATGCAGAAAATGCTACATTAACATAGCGGGAAATCGCAAATTGTTTTTTCGTCGTATTACATTTTTTTACTCAGTATCGTGTTCTTAAGTAAAAAGTAAAATAACTACAATCCCAAAAACTACTCACTTACAGTAACTTGAGTAAATTGTTACTTTCTACCTCAGGGTATGTAGAAGTAATATAGCATATTCTGCTTTGTGATTGCAGTAAATGAGCATCAAGTATCGTGTACCTTGTTACCAGGCATTTGTCAGTAATATACTCCACTGTCATTTGTAAGTATTCGTCTTATCCATCCTTCACAGCTAAGCGTTTGTAGCCGAGCCTAAACATCCTCTTTAGCTGAGTCATTCTCAGAGTTTCATTGGGCTTCATGCCATAATAGTAAAGTGCTTCTTCTGAACAGCCGGGGGCACACTCTACTAATGTGGTGCTGGCTGGCATCACTCACTTGTTGCGGCGGTAGAGAGCCATGCATGCCACTCCGAGAAGACAGATCCCCGAGGCGATGCTGAAGATGGACAGCACCTGCCTCTGGTAGGTGTCACCACTCTCTGCAGAGAAAACAACACAGTTCAGACCACAGAATTTGTACTTTTCTGGAAAAAAAAAAACAAGAAGGGTGTGGGCTGTGAGTGCTCAAGGCAGGAGGGAAAAAAAAACAACAACTGTGGAATGAATTGCCGCTGAAAACACACAAACACGCAATGAGCGCGCACGCACAAAAGGAAACGGATGTCCACCCACAGTCTTCATTAGCATAAAGGCACCGGCGCTGCTGTCAGTGAATGTCACCGTCTGAGCAAGGGACAGGGACGGGGCAGAGGCAGAGGCAGAGGCAGAGGCAGGCAGGGCTCGGTGACATGCTAACTGAAGTGTGATAATCATTTCATTCAGACTAACCCAGCAGGCGACGACCGATGGACTGACTCTGCACAACGGGGGCGATGTATCCAATGTGTTTATATCTGTGTCTGTGCAGGGGCAGGTTCTGTCTCAGCATTCAGTGAGGGCTGGCAGTAGGGGGAATTAGTAGCAAATGAATGCATCCCGAAGCTTCCTGTCAAACCCTGGCACCTCAGCGAGAGAGCTCCAGGTCACAAGCTAGCTGGGATGAGCGTTTTGATCCCAGCAGATATACGTCTGAAGGAGCAGCTAGGCTAAAGACCTGGGGTATGGTTTATGGGTGCTGACTGGGCTGCATTAGGTGCCTTATTATGTCTTCTGGTTCACGCTTTTTACACTTTAGTAAAACCAACCGGTTGGTATTTAGTTAGAGAGGGTTCAGTGTCCCGCTGTCACTTACTGCATGACCTTAAAGGCCACCGTGTGTGACATTAGTCAAACCCGAAAACAATAATAGAATCGGGGGCTGATCTCAGCACCTTGACAGCTGCAGAAATAGAACATGAAGCAAAAAGTGCAGAGAGACATCACCATGGCTGCTTTCTGACCTTTGAGGCCTTGTTCGTGTTCTTTTGATGCTGTCAGAACCATCCGCGGGGGTTTTGTTCATCCTGCCTCATCTGCCAAAGTCTATCAGCTTGTTTTTTCACAGAAACACTCTAAGGGAGTCTGGCCGTAGGAGGCCGTGACGCCTAGTCATCGACGAGTGATCTGACTACGTAACCGCTGCCCTGAGAGCGGCCTGTGGTGAAGTGGCTCTCATTGGCTCAGAGTGGTGGTGGTGGTGGTGGTGGGGGGTCGAGGGGTATTCTGTTCTATTTATCCATTATCGCTCTTTTTCTGTCGGTTGCGCAGCTTCTTGTGACATATGTTTTTTGTCCAATCATATTTCCACCTTTTGTGTTGCCAGGTTGAAAGAAATCTGTCCTAAGGCCTTCAGAATCAGGAGTGGGGCCCTAAAATACATGGCAATTCCAATTGGATGGTCTGAGTCTTGGTTTTAGCATACTGCATCTAGCGACATGCACGCTCGTAAGTGAAGTTTTCTCTGCTGTTTCTTGTTCTTGCTTCTGTTGAGTAGACATCTCAACCCTAAACCGAATTAAAACCTATGCCATAAATACCTGAACTGGACTTAATATGGCACTAGAAGTAGAAGTATTGATATTGTAGCAGTAGTATAATATTGATGGTGAATGAAGTTATTAAGATGTGGATATGACCAGCCGGGACGCCAGTGAAGGTTTAGATGAGAAATATCACAGTCAGGAGCGTCACAGAGTGATTTCACGTCGCAGCGCACGGAAAGTTCTAGATGTACTTCCACCCCTAACTGCAGGCTTAAATGTGATTTTTGTGCAAATTTTTGGGTGAATTTTGTTACACGGTTCTCTATAGTCTTTTATGTAAATGTGAGGTGTCAAACTTTAGTTCGCATTAGAGAAGGGTGGGAAAAACGACACAAAATGAAATGATATTATAGACTTGCACTGCATAAGTTCATAAGCCTTTCATGAAGGCCCCTGTTCTCCTGGGCTTATTGCTGGCAGCCAACAGGGGCCGAGGTCCCTGCAGGAGGGAACAGGCAGTGCTACAAAAACTGGACTGTTCCTTCAGGGACATTCAGAGTATGGTGAAGATCTGCCTGCACTCAAAAATGACCACTGGAGCGCATCCGAGCAACACCATTTCATTTCACCTTTTTTTGCCCCCCTCCTGTGTCGGCATTACCTCAGTGCTGCATCCACATATTAACAGGGTAAGGTGGTGAATCTACTAGTCCAACCTACAGGTGAACCTTTAATGCTTCTGGCAAAAGACAAGGAGAGCATTTAAAAAAAAAACTGTATTAATTCAAGTTAGAGCATCGGGCTTCTGTCCATCGAGATAGATAGGTGGATGGATGGATGGATGGATGGATGATGGATGGATGATGGATGGATGGATGGATGGATGGATGGATGAATGGATGGATAGATGGTAAATGGATAGATGATGGATGGATGGATAGATGGATGGATGGATGGATGGATGGATGGAAGGATGAATGGAAGAATGGTTTAATGCTTCTGGCAAAAGACAGCATTTAAAAAAAAAACTGTATTAATTCAAGTTAGAACATCGGGCTTCTGTCCATCGAGATAGATAGGTGGATGGATGGATGGATGGATGGATGATGGATGGATGATGGATGGATGGATGGATGGATGGATGGATGAATGGATGGATAGATGGTAAATGGATAGATGATGGATGGATGGATAGATGGATGGATAGATGGATGAATTGATGGATGGATGGATGGATGGATGGATAGATGGATGGATGGATGGATGGATGGATGGAAGGATGAATGGAAGAATGGATGGTTGGATGGATAGATGATAGATGGACAGATGGATAGATGATAGATGGATGGATGAATGGATAGATGGATGATGGATGAATGGTTGGATGGATAGATGATAGATGGATAGATAGATGGATGAATGGTTGGATGATAGATGATAATGGATGAATGGATGGATGGATGGATTATAGATGAAAGGATAGATGAATGGATGGATGGATGGGTGGATGGATGGATGGATGATGGATGGATAGATGATAGATGGAAGGATAGATGGATGGATAGATGAATGGTTGGATGGAAGGATAGATGATAGATGATAGATGGATAGATAGATAGATGGATGGTTGGATGGATGGACGGATGGTTGGACAGATGATAGGTAGAGATATAGATAGGTAGATAGATAGATTAAGAAAGAAATTAAGGCTAATAAATATGAGAAATTAATGCAATGCTAACATTTATGGCAGTATTTGTTTGAAGAACAAAGATCAAGTGGATTTAAAAGAGAAATTTTAAAGAGAAAACATTGTAATATTGTTGAATAGCAATTTTCTAAATTCTGAGTGAAATTCTGATGTGGGCTCCTGTGGTATTTTAAAACAAATCTCATTTGTGAGTGTGACTCAGAGCTAATGCTGTACTTCAGCTTTGAAGAAGGTGCAGGTATCCACTAGCCAATTATAATTTTAGTATTGTGTCATTCAGGCAAGTGGTCCTCGATCGGATCCGCGTCCCACATGTGGCCAGCGAGAGTCACTGCACCAGTGGAGGAAAATAAGCTGCTGCTTTTTAGACAACAAAGGGCAGATACAGTACAAGCACAGAAGACATTTAGCCATTTTAGCTAATGTCATTTAGGGCCGAGCTATTTTTTAAGTACTCTCTCGGTCCCTGAAGGAAAATTACTCCCTTGAGACACCCAGGTGATTACCATCCAACATGCAGTTGCAGTAGGCTGAACTTTTTATAGGCCGCCCAGGAGCGGAGTTCTGGTGCTTGCTTAACACACCACAGACCTTCCAGGACCTGGATTTGAGTCAACAACCCTCGAAACTACACGATCGATTCTTTAAACATCCTGCTTGTTCCATCCAACACAACAGGCAAATTAATATAAAGTAGGGCAGAAAAAAAAACTATTCTCATGGCGTCCACATAGTCACAGAACACACTGCCTGTGGGTCTGGAAAATCCGTCAAAAGCTGGCAGTAGGGGGCTGACAGCTGATGAGTTAATTGTGTAGATGGTATATGTGTGTACACACTCAACCTTTATCACGGGTCTAAAAAACAAAACAAAACAAAACAAAACTGTGGATTCCTGAAGCATTTGAGAAATGCATTTCTCTGCTGAAACAACATTATCTGAAACACCACCTGGGACCGGCCTTTGTCTTTTCACAGATAAATGAAAAAAGGCTTTTTCTAAATCTGAACATGAAAACATCTGTCTGCAAACCTCTGCTGAACGGCTGCAAGGAAACACTGACATGTAGCCTGTGCATAAAACCATTACAGGCCTTTCATGCCTGCTGCCTATGAGGCAGTCTGGAAATTAGATGCAAAGACATGTAGCTCAGCATCAGCCAACTGTGTCATCCAGACATAAGTGCACCACAATAGCATCTGACTGTTTATGCAAGGGGTGTCAAACGCACTTTGGTTCAGGGCCCACATACGGCCCGGATTACATGTCAAGTGGGCCGGGCCAGTACAGTCATAATAATTGCAAGTAAGTACAAGAACGTTAGAAAATATTCATATTTAATGACATATAATTTGACAAAACTTCACCAACGTGAATGAAGTGTGGATTTTTTCAATTTCGAAATTCATCAAGCTGGCCGTATCGAATCCCTTAGCGGGCCGGTTTGGGCCTGCAGGCCGCATGTTTGACACCCCGATCTATAACAGGGCCTTGACTGTCTGTCTATCAAAACACGCAGGATTGATCCTGATTTGTATAAAGAAAACATGAGATATCTATACGGCATCTGCAACAAAAACAACAACAACAACAAAAAAAATAGTAGAATGTGCATCTTCTCAAGTCCACAATATCTTGTGTGTCATGTTGAGAAGAACTGGGAACCAAAAGTTTGTAAAGTGCTTACTCTCCCTGAACCAAAGTCCAAAGAGGAAAATCAGCGGTTTTAGCTCCCGGGGACAACGAAGTTGCAGGACTACTGCTGCATTGTTTGGTGAGTTTGTGACATGGAGTCAATTAGTAAAACAAAGTGAAATTGTTTACAGCAGTGTTGTGAAATAGGAAGAAATATATATATATATAGTAACTATTATTTATATATAATGACTACTAACTATTAACTATTGTTGTTGGGAGTCGCAGCGTAAAATCAATCAATCAATCAACGCTATTCATTAACATGTCCAGCCGCCTGTAGTGTGATATCCACATGAACCCACGAGCCCTCCATTCAACAGACCACAGAGATATGAGGAGTGCTGTGTTCAAGGCCAGCCTTCTCTGTCAGAGCATTCTTATTTCCTGGTGCCAGAAAGTGATGGTACAGCAGCGTGTGGATTCATGCTGATGGAAAAGTTCACAGTGTGCGTTGATGGTTTTTTCTCTATGCACAAAAGGCAGCCAGAGAGGCAAGGAAACTGCAGTAAAATGGAAAAGAAGCAACGCAGCCAGTGTGGTAAAGTGTGTTTGTGCGCCGCTAAGAATCTGTATTATCTCTCCAGACAGAGAACGGCGTGTCTGTGTTGAAGGAAAGGCGCTAAATAATTCAGTTTGTAAAGATTTATTTTCACTCGGGAGGCGGAAAGGTACCTTAACTAATATCAATGGAATCCCCGAGTACTTTAAATCGTACCCCCATTATCTCCTTTTCCACTTGTAAACTTTATTCCTGTTTGGGTGTAAGCCTGGGGATACATTCAAATGCAAATCCAGATTAAGTGCCTGCGCCTCTAATAACAAGCAAATGTTACCTCACACTGTACTTGACAGCAAATTTAGAAATTGCTGCTTAACTGACTTTAGCACCGAGCAGGAACACATTTATACAGTAAATTGCTGTGGTCTGACTTTATTGCTTTATCCTCATTATACAGCCGCTCTCTCCAACCGCACTGTGCAGACCGAACACACCTAATTCACCACCGCCGTTTCCATGGAGACTGGCTCACATTAATTTCCGAAGGTGAGCGGCCTTGTTTTTTTTTACGCAGGATTGTGTGCGCTTTGTATGTGGCATTTTTTGCAGCTATGATGCACATGAAAGGACGAGCGCTCGCACGCTGCTGGTGAAAAGTTGGCTTACCCATGAACTCGATCCCAAGTTCATCTGCTGTTCCGTTCAAGGCCGGGGAGTGGGAGAGAAGGGGGGGAGAGGGGGCACAAATAAAAAAAAAGAGAAGGGAGGGGGAGAGAGAAAGAGAGAGAAACATTAAACAGTTACAACATGATGTGCCTCCACCTTACTAAAAATTCACCTTAGGGAGAGACATGCTACAACTACACCATAAAGTTGCTTTGACGGTTCCCTCTGACAGGGCTCTCTTCCTGGTGCACCAGGTAATGAAGCAGACAGCCCCGGTTTCTTGCTATTTTCCATGACACACACACACACACACTGTCGAACACACATACACGCACGCACACTGCTCCCACAGCCTGCAGATGCGAATGGAAATCGGGAACAACAAAGATGCCGAGGCTGAGAGGATTAGAGCAAGGATGAAAATAAAAGTCGAAAATGACATATCATTTAGCTTTATGTCACCGTTGTTCTCCAGCCTGGGGCACTTCAGTAATCACACTGCTCTGTCTTCAAGCGACGCTCCTTAATATTCAGGAGTGACACACATGTCTACGTCTTTGGCTCGTGTGTACTCGTTTTTTTTACTCACTGTTTGTCTGCAGGTATGTTTTTTTTTTTTCATCCGGTGTTGGTGCGGATATGCGTAAAATCACCTCACATTAGTGCTCGTCCCTGCAAAATAAGGGAACTGGCATATACTGTCTAAGGCAGGCATGGGCAAACTAAGGCCCGGGGGCCGGATGCGGCCCGTTCAGCTTTTAATCTGGCCCGTCAAACTTTTCCAAATTATATATAATTTATTTATATTATCATTATACTTCTGCCTTTTCCCTGCAATACTCACATTTCCCCAATAGATGGCATGACTTTTACATGTCATTCATCTTAGTTCACATGAACGCTCGATCTTATGCTAATTTTAGGACAATTGTGGTCCGCCAGTCAAAAATGTACCCCACGCCTGGTCTAAGGTGTACTCTGCTTTGCTCAACGACTGCTAGGATTGGCTCTGGCATAATTAGAGACATACTCTTATAGAGCCACATGTTGAGACAACCATTAAAAAAAAAGAATTCAAACCTATGGTCAATTCCGACCGTCCAATTAAACTGATCCCACGCATTTTATAGTATGACAAGAAACCCTTGTGTCTGAAGAAATTCCACCCACACACTGGGAGAACATGTAGTCTTCATACAGTAAGACCATCGTTTACCAGTAAGGTTCAAACCAGCAATCTTTGTTACCGTTCAGTGTGCCCTCTTTCTAAATTCCAGAAAACGGTTTTCGAAAAAGCTCACTGTGATGGTGTATTGACCCCCGGTACTACTAACACGGCTGGTTTCACGTTAGCTCTTTCCTGCTTTGATGCCTCGACCGTAAGAGGGAAGCTAACATTAGCTCCGGGGCTAACTCCCTTCACTTTGTGCTTGTCCGCAGCAGAGGTAAACAGGTCTTTATTATCAGCCACTCCGACCACAACAGAACATAAACAGAGTTTTAACAGCTCCTCTAAAACCAACTCAGGCTTCAACACGATAGGGCGACAACTGTCGCCTTCACTTAACTTCACTAACATAAAAATTATGTTATGTTAAAGTCCATTTTGACTCATTTATTTTATTCCACAAAAAATGCTATAATTGCTACGATACTTATAAAAAAATGCTAACGCACACATTATAGTAATGAACACATTGAGAATAATATACGAAACGACTATACATAATCCCTGGCCAGTAGATTTTTAAAGCTAACTAGCCCCTTTAGTTTGAGCCCTGCTAAAAATGTGACACACACGCCTTAAATATGAGTGCTTTTATAGTTCATCACTTATAGATGATTTTTTTAATGTGATTAAGATTCATTGAATAATTCAATATTTTTAATTCTCCAACCTTAAAAACAGCTTGGTAAAAGGCATTTTTTGATGATTTAAGCCACAAATGGTTTGAGCCAGTTATACATTGAAAATACAGGAAATAAAAGTATTACAAAACATACTGTATCTTTCTGTAGCCACTATGCTGCGGAACTTTCCTCTCCCAGACTCGGAGAGAAGCGTTCTAATTTAACAGTGTGTCACGTCCTACGCTGATCTTAGTGGGAAGTTGTCCAGAACTGCGAGAGCAGTGTCCTCAATACGGCTGCAGTCACAGGATTTAAACGGAGTAAGAAGCCGCTTCTTTATCTTTAGGTGAAAGTCGGTGGAAGCAGAACGCTGCCGCTAACAATCTCCTCCACTCTGACAGTCTCCTGCTGCAGTAACCCCGTGGTTTTTTTTTTTGGCTACAAGACCGACTGGACAAATGACCGCAACTTTCAGAGAAGTAAGAAGTTACAGTCTAGATATTGTTTTATTCATTTATTGTTTCCTCTCCTGGACTTATTTATCACTAATTCTTTTTTTTAACAATAGGTAGAAACAGGGGCGCTGCCAGGAATTCTGGGCTCCATGGAAGGATATGACATTGGACCCCTGCTGTATGGAGCAAAAGTTCCCAATGACTGATCATTTAAGAAAATATGTTAATATAATATTCTGTTCAATCACCTGGTAGTGGTGGATTAATCGCAATACATTATGATTTATCTCAATTAATGATAAATAATCATGATTAATCATGATCAATTGTAATTAATCATGGTTTATTAATGGATTTTTACATTCATTAAAAGCATAATGAAGACCCGCAGCATTCATCACTGGTGTTGAGAAACAAAAATGTAAAATGTAAAATGTATTGCAATTGATCGTGATTAATCACAATAATGACGAATAATCGTGATTAATCGTGATCACTTGCGATAAATCCGCCAGCACAAAGCTTGAAAACTTGTCATGCACATGTCTAGTAAGCAATGTTGTGTCCATAATTCTTTTTCCTCATCGCTCTATCATATACTTTTGTCATGTATGCCACCTCTAACATATTCCCTCTTATGGTATTATACGTTCATTAAAAGCATAATGAACACCTGCAGCTTTCATCACTGGTGTAGAGAAACAACATGTAAAATGTCAAGACTTTGATCTTCAACTGAGCCACAGTTAGCGTATTAGCTTCAAATGTCAGCGCAAATAACACTCTGTAGTCTTATAGGTGAAATTCCTTCTATTATTATCATGTTACAATACACCTATGATTTGTTTTTTTAATTTAAAAGCAACCTACATCTAGTTCTTTCGAAGTCAATCAACACATGCGAGCTTTCTTGCTCCCTGATACTCTCAGGCTGGTCTTTCAGGCAGCGGATATAAGAAGCTTTCAGGGAAAGAAATAATGAAAGGTGAGGGTGATGAGGAGGTGGAGAAAGCGTTATCTCCTGCCGGCATTAGCAGCAGATGAGTCAGGACGTGAGAGTACCGCCGCCTCAACCTGAACAACAACATTAATGGACACAATAGAGAGAGGCAGGAAGGGAAAGACGCAGGTCGGATGGGACTAGTGAAAGAACGGCAAACGCCAGGAGAGGAGGGTTTTGATGGTGTCACAGGAAATAGATTGTTGCCAGGAAATTCACAGTATCCACTATTTATGCTGCAGGGAATCGATAGCACATCGTGGATTGATGGACCTCCAATTGCGGTGTTGTGTCGCATCACGGTATATTGTTTTCTGTATTGATTCCTACACAGTCAGAGGAGCTTATATCTACAGAAGGGCTATCATAAAAAAATACTTAATTTAAAATTTACTTTGAGTAAAAGTTACTTAGTTACTTTAATATATTTCATGCAAAAAAAGTCATACATCTAAACTAGTTCTTTTGAATTAACAATTTAAATACAAGTGGCATATGTTGAGAATTCTATGGCTTGAGCCATCATCCAATCACAGGCTAGTGTCTGTCTCTTCGTCAACGTAACCTGGCTACATTAAAATAGTGGGAAATCGCAACTTTCTTTTTTTGTTACCACAGATTGTTTTTCCCCGCTCTAAATTCTTTACTCAGTTCTTTTCCAATGTAGTGGCGTAAAATACTCAAGTCTAAAACTACCTATTCCAGAAACTACTTAAAGAAATTACAAATTAGTCACAAAAAGTAGTCAATTACAGTAACTTTAAGTACATTTAATTTGTTACTTTCCACATTTGGTAATCTGAAAATGATCTTCTTTACTTAAAACTTTGCAGCTTTAATTAATTCCTTGCATGGACGTACATTTTGGCTTACTGCAGGGGTCCCCAACCCCTGGTCTGGGGACCAGTGCCGGTCCGTAGGTCATTTGGTACCGGTTTACTTTTTTCATTTGAAGATAATCTGATAATCTGAATAATTTGAATCTGTATGGCTTCAACTATGAAAGGATTTGCAGCACTCTACAAAAGCGTGTTTTACTCTGGCCATCACGAAGTATGTTCTTTTTCTTCCTAGGTGTTCATTGCGAGGGTGGCACAAACACTTGGCGAGGACAGGGGAAAAAGAAATCGCAGCACTTCAGTGATGCTGCCTGATCTGTATTATCCATTTAAGTCTCTCTCCTGTGATTTTCCATGGCAACAGCTCTTTACATTTTCTTGACTGTCAGAGCCCGTGCAGATGATGTCGTTACAATGCTGATACACAGTCCTTCCTCTGGCTGTGTCTTGTCTGCAGACATTCACCAATCATAATACGTGTAGCCTCCTAATCCATTGCGCTGCCAAGTCAAACAACCCCGGGGGATCATATATTGGGTTCTTGTTGGAACCTTTTAGCAGTTTGGAGAATACCTGTGCATCATGTCGGGGGCTTTTGGCCTGATTAAGAGGCAGGAATCTGGCAGTTGGAAGAGACAATGGCAGGAGTGAATCAAATTCTTAATCCCCTTTTTCACTCTGGTGAGCAGGGGATTGGAAAGCTTCTCTCTCTCTCTCTCTCTCTCTGTGTGTGTGTGTGTGTCTGGTAGTGTTATTGAAACCAATATCCTGTGAAGCTATACTTACTCTAGGCAGCATGTCTACCGGAGACGGAGAGTTCCAATTAGGCTTGGCTCCTTGCTTTTTGGTAAGTCAGCTGAGTGAAAGTTTGGAGCTGGATCA